GAAGGGGGCAAGGGATGAGAGAGCTGAGGGCAGGGGAGCCACGGAAACTCAACCCCGTCACTCAGTTCGAGTGAAGCGGAGAATGAGCTCTGCGTCCTAAGGCCGGGTTTATATAGAGGGAGAATTTGGGCGTGGAGGAGTTGGAGACCTCGAGGGGGTGTAAAATCGCACATACCCTGGTATGTTATTTTTGGCTTTCGAGTTGTAGGCCTGTGATCACGCCGAACATGATAATAATTTACATGTTGTAAACTGCGGCATCGCTTGTATGCGCGACTATCGGGTTAATATTTTTGTTTTTCGGCGCAATGGGTTTGAAAGCGCGCCAATAATATCTTTGTTATGAGGTCTAGTATATCACACATATGCGTGACCTCACAGTCGTAAAATTCCTTCCTACTCCTTTTTTTCAAAGTTTCATTTAATGTTTGGTCTGTAAGGATAAGGAAGTGATATGAAATGGGAATAACATTCCCATTTACAAAACTTAAATTATTGCAAAATAAGTAGTGCTGAAAATATCATGCACACTCCAATATCAACGTACACAAAAGAAAACGAACACATCAGCACTCAGGATTATTCAAGGCATTGTAAAACTTACAGATGAATTTACTTACAGAAGCACAGCGCTACTAAGCTTACTAAAAAAGATAAAAAGCCGGGATTTCCGTGGTATCTGTTGATAAAGCGTATTGTCCGGGATTATAGCACTGATCCTACCACTAATATTATCTTGAACTGTCGCTCGGGCTAAATGACTAGAAGTTTTTATCTGAATTAAATATCATTACTTTTTTTTTTAAACAGATCGCTTTTATTTTAATTGGACATTTTAATCAGCAAAAAGAAGGAAAAGAAAAAAAATAATAAACGTAAATTTTTTTTTACACGGAGTATCAACTCCTTTTTTTTTTGCGAAAACATACCTTCGTGTTAATGTTTGTTTCATACCGGTAAAATAGGTCGCTTTTCATGCACGCCTAGCTTTTTTAACATAAAGCGCTGTTCATATGTGCGTGTTGTAGCGAGACAATGGTTTCTGATGGCTGTAATATCATTAAACCGTCCTGGGACCTACCATACCTGCCACCGTTTACTTTATCTAGGTAGAGAGACCGTACAATAGTGGTATACTGGGTAGCTGCCCTAACAAAACGGTACCACTCAATACTACTCAGAAGGTTAAAATTTTCTATCACTACCAGCCCATCTTTTGCTCTGGAGAGCGCTACTGTGATGCGAGCCGGATTTAAAAAGAAATCTAGGTTGCGGTCTGACTCTTCACTGAAAAAGTCCCTTGTTGTTACAAGTATTACAATTTGTGCCTCTTGATCTTGGAACTGATCAGTTGTGTGCACCGTACATTTTCTGTCCTTTACGGCCAGTTCCAGAACGCGCTTTGTGCCGCTATAGAAGCATAATACCACCACCGATGCGCGAGGAAGATGTATCTCGAATAACCGTACAAACTCCTGGACCATCTCCTCAAGCATGGCGTTAGTGCGGGACTTCATCAGGTCCACAGCGTCTCCAGTGGCCTGATGAAGCAGCACCATTGGGATGTCCGTCACCGGTAAAGGGAAACTGAACGCTGTGAGCAAGTGCAGTCACTGGATCGCAGAGCACTTTTAAGTTTACCTCCATAGGCCATCTCTGTAAGGCAGTGCGTCAAGAATAGATGCGCCCGAAAACTTACCGATAACTCGAAAACTGGAATCTCGCCTTGGTCGATGATGGAATTGATAACCCCCGCGCTCCATAAGGAACTAGCGGATCTGGAACTAGTGCCCTGTATGGTGGGAGTTGCTTCATATCACCCGTGATGAATACCTGTTTTAAATTTAGAAGTCCTGCACATAGTACCAATAACTGACTCTCTGGAATCATCAATTATCAAGCGGGTGATATCT